ATGATCTCATCTGTGGGCCTTTCATAGTCCCTCTTCAATTATTTGAGCTAGCTGTCTTTTTCCTGAGGAAATGATCATCAGTGTAGCCTGTTGGAAGTTACTGCATTTAGGGAAGGAGTGAGCATTCACTCAGGAAATGAAAGTTGCAACTAATGTCTTTTCTACAATGTACAATGCTTACGTTGGAGAAACTGTCCACTTCCCCATAATAAAACATTGGTGTCTCTCCTTTTGCTATTGGGCTTCCCTCCTTATGCTGAGTGGCAGCATGCTCCTTTCTGAAGAGTCCTTGCTGCAGGTCAGACTGGCATCAGAAGCAAGCAGAGAAGGACAAGAAGAGGGCAGTGGGAAGGCAGACTGCTTTGGAGTATTTGGGGCATGAAAACCACTGAAGGGTTCAGGCTGAATGAAGCATAAGGAACTGTTTATGTAGCTGGTTCATGTGGTGGTAATGGCAGGTTTCTCAGTGCAGCTAACAGGTGTGGACAGTTTTTGTTCCAAGTGGGAGGAGGGTGTGCTGATCTATGCTGCCCTCACATGGAAGGATTTTGTTGGTAAAGTCCAGTCCTATGTAACCACAGTGTGTTGGCTCGTGTGATGCCATTCTTCTACCAGTGCAACTGTAGCTACTTTCAGCACTATTGGATTTGCTCATACTTTACTCTTCTTGTCGAAACACTTCCTTTGCTGTGGAGTAACAGGAGGATTGCTTTTCTTGCTTTGTAATAAAATCTTTATTTGCACATTCATCTATGTTAAAAGATAGAAATGTAAGAATCTTACACCAAAGTTGTTGTAAACTTAATAACTGGTTGCGTAGGCCAAGTGATTCACATAACTTTATATTTATTTTACTTGTATTAAAACAAGTGTGTAGATTAACAGAGCATTCTTTAGTGTTGTTTGTTTGGACTAGGACACACTTAGACGGCGTACCTCCAATTTTCATCGCAGTTAGGCATTTTTCAAAGTCTTGGATCAGGATTGCTTCTTTTGTGAGAAGACTTGATGATGTAAAATCAGGAGTAGGTCTACTAATATTTATGAATTGTGCAGCTAGCCCAACTTTTGCTATCCAGTATCTATGGGATATGTAGAAAACAAAATTTCAGACGGTGCTGGTTAAGTTAAAATTGGTACATCTCTGTTCGGGTAAAAAAAAAAAAGAAGAAAAAAGAGAAATTGAAAGCCTAATTTAAAACAAAACACTGGAGTATGGTTTTAGTAATGGAGAGGATCTGTGTGTTTTATATTTTAATTAGATGTTTGTAGTATCCCCTGTTAACATGCTTCTAATCTGTTCTACTAGTAAGTCAACATCTGTTACTAACAACTAATAAGATGAAAGAGCTTCAGACTAACTTCACTGATACTGTTTGGCCTTGACATTTGAAGTAAGTCAGTTGCCTTCCTCTAGAAATATTGAAACTGAATTTATTTTCATGTGTTAAATTTATTGTTTTGAAGAGTTGCAGCATTTTCCATGTTCAGCTCATATTTTAAAATCCTTTTACTGTTGAATAGGTGATATCTATTTAACATGAGTAAGGTGAAAAGGTTACTGTGCAATGAAAATAGACCTAGCTTTTGCGTGATTTGAATCCATGTGAAATTTTAACTTTGAGAATAGATTCATGATGTTAATTATTTTCATGCTGAATAAAGGCTGGAAGCCATTTCAAGTCTGTGACACTGTTGTTTCTTAAAGTAAATTCTCATGGATGTGGCATTTCACAACAAAATTGAAAATATTTTGATGTTCTCAAAAATTTGGTTGCATGTCTGTTTTAACTTGGGTAGTGCATGAGATCTTAGTTACATGCTCTTAACTATAGCTTTTTATTTCATATTTAGCATTCAAGTTGTTAGCACGTGGCATGTTTAAATGCTTTCAAAGACAGGCATGACGTATCTCATAGTCTTCAGAAGAGAAAGCAGGATTTTCTGTATTAATGTCCTCTGTTAAATTCCACACTGGGAGGTCTTTGTAAGGATTTCTTTCTCCGAATAACAGAAGATCTTCCTCAAAAGTTAAAGTAACATACTTTAATAGACTCCTGAAAATCAGTGTCCTAGGTAGGCTTGAACCCTGCAGCTGGATTATTGCTGGATATGTGGAGCAACATATGAAGTCATTGTTTGAAGGTCATCTGAGAACAAATTACTATTTTTAAACAGGAAACCTGATTTACAAAGAAACTGGTAGAACCTGTTGCAGATATGTGAAGGTTTAAAGTGCAACAAGTTAAATGAAAGGTCTGTCTAAAGATATGAAATATGACATGACCTCCAAATCAGAAGTTCATATCTGTCTCCTAGGGGTTGGCAGTGTATGACAATGGGAGGATCAATCTAAACATATATTTGGTGAGGTTTTAAAGTAATTTTTGTTTCCCCCTGTTTGTTATTATGCTGGAGAGACTATAATTGGTTAGATGATATTAGTAAGATTGGTGGTGTAACATATGACCAGGTGGTTGAAAAGCTATTGCAAAGCAATATAAATATCTTTTTGTTTAAGAAAGGTAAAATATTTCTACAACATATGTAAATGACAATATAAATTTTAATCAGGTGTCTGATTTCATAGTTATATAGGCAGTGTATATAGAGATGGGATTAAGTGTGAACAGTGTTTGAGTTGCACACTTGGTGACTTTGGATTGCAGTCATGTGCAGTGAGGCAGGTAATACTTTGTATAGGTGGCAGCTGTACTGAAGCTTCCTAAGAATCTAAAGATCAGAGCCTATGTTGGGCAGCCTGTAAAGCCCCTATCAAGTATTGTTTTATATGTGTTAGTTTCAGAGTGAGTGGCATAATAGGCTGCTAGTTTTCTGTGTAAAGAAACCTTTCATACATCCTAAACATCATTACAAGGGAAAACACTGATTTTACACAGAAATGTGCACAGAGTATCTTTAATGTAGTATTTGAAAGATTTCCATCTGGTTGTTTCTTTTGTGCCACCAGGGGGCATAGTACTACAGTCTGTTCGTGTTCGGGTTTTATTTATTTTTCTTTCTTTCCAGTATTCCATCATCTGTGTATTAATTTCTTCTTGTTTTCAGTTCATCTGTTTTATAAGTTTGTAGAATTTATCTTTAAACATTGGGATTCTAGGATATTTGCCCTACATCTCGATTAACTTAATCTGGTTCTGTTGTCAAAATATATTTTTCTCTTTTGGGAAAGCGATAGCTGTCTGACTGTGTTGCATTTTAAAATCTTTGTTTTCAGGATGTATCAATCTAAGAAATGAACAAACAAAAACAACAAAACAGTGGGCCAGCACTTCACACAACCCAAAAAATGAGGGGACAAACTTACTACCATGTTAGAAAAATTAATAAAACTTATTTTCTGCAAAATTACAAAGAACTTTCATAAAAGGATAAATTAAAGGTAGAATTATTCTAATGGGTAGAATTATAGCAATGACAGTTGGGAATCCAAAAGGCTGATTAGTATCCCTTGGTAAGGTGTGTTTTTTTTATTCTTGCAGGCTTCTCTAAGTGAGCAGAATTTAAAAGAATGTACACATCAATTTAGAAAGGAGGCTTAATCCTTTGCAAACTACAGTTGCTGAAAAGGAAAATACAAATACTTCAAGTGAATTATTAAAAGGGAAAAAAGTGTCATGTACAGATGTTGTTTCTAATATTATACTGTAGTCCTAAGAAAATAAGGCATTGGTGCTAGGAAAAAGTTATTAAAATCATAAGTGACAGAGTACCTGTCTACTGAATCAATGTTATTTGTGTTGAATATAATGGTAAAATGTAGATACCTGAATCTGTAGAAGGTTTTGTTTTAACAACAGCTACTTGCAAAAATACCTAATCATACATGGTATATTTTGGGGGGTGACCACAACTTTAATAATAGGAAGTGACTGGGGTTTTTTTGTTTGTTTGTTTGTTTTTTTAATCTCTTATAATTTCTTATTATTTTATGTTAAAGTCATTCTGAGTAAATAAAGAAATTACTGTTAAGATGAAAATCACATTAAATAATGTGAAATAATTGGGCTTTTTGTAATTCTGTTAAAGCTAACTCATTCATGCTTGAAAAAAGGCATACCTAAAGGCATACCTCAAATAATTTGGAAGGAGTAGCTACTGCATGAGAAGGCAGTAGCATTTGGAGGTATCTTATTTGGCTATGCTCCTTCCTGTATTCCAACAATACATTCAATAGATGCTGTTAAATTACTGTGTAGAATCTCTCTCCTTCCATGTTGCTTGGGAAATATGCTGACTTTCAATTCACACCGATGTTGTTCTGCAACCTTCCTATGGGGTGCACACCAGAATCATCTACAAAATCCCATCGCTTAGTCAGATGACCTTCTGACTAAAAATGCTATTAGCTTGATCTCTCTTTTACAGGATTTTCTTGATGCTTGTAATGGTCCAATTGTACAGATTATTCCTCTGATCAGGCTGTTAAGGGATCTTTTACCCCCATAAAGTGCTTTTGTTTATTTCTCTGTGGAAGTTTATTTCTCTCTTTCACTGAAAGTAAGAAACTTGATATTTATTGAAATACTGTTTTACATGTACAGGAAAACCCTGAAATATTTACATCCTGTTAGTCCCATCACATTGTGACTGACTGTAAAAATTGGCTTTGTTTGGTGTTCTGATAAATGAAAAGATCAGATTTTTGTAAATCTGACATATGTGAAAGAAGTTGAAGTAGGCATAATTGCTTCTTGAAAGAGTGTGACTTTAAAGAGTATCTTTGTATCACTGATTAAATCTTGTGCTGTGAATTCATAAAGGAAAATATATCTTTTACTCTTTTGCCTTACACTGAAAAGTGAAAGTTTCATTTGTTGGGTCAGTTCCTTTGTAGATTGTCTTTATATAAAATGAATATATTTTGGAATTTTTTGTGTGATCACATGCTATTGTGGAATTTTTTTTTTTTTTAATTCTGTCAAGAATTCGTCTGAAAAATAATTAAACTTTCCTTTTTTTTTTTTTTCCCTCCCTAGGGCCAGCTTTCAATATTGCAGGAAAAAATAGATCATTTAGAACGCCTGTTGGCAGAAAATAATGAGATTATTTCAAACATACGAGATTCTGTGATCAATCTGAGTGAATCAGTAAAAGATGGTCAGAAAAATCCAGAGGCCATAAACTTCAGTCAAGGATCTGTTTCTGAGCTCTTTCCTTCTGCTTCAGTTTTGTTTGCCATTGATTCTGAGGATTGTTTGTTTGCTTCAAAAAGTGGAAGTCATAGTTCGGATGTACAGGTAAGCCGTACATCTTTGTCTTATTCTGCTGGAGTCCCAGCTATCATTACCTTTTAATTCTGAAAATGTCAAATTACAGCTAAAAGGTTGGTACTAAGCTCCTGATCTAAGAGTTGTTCTGTTAGAGTTGTTCAAGTGACTGTTGTGTTTACCAGATGTTATGAAACTGTTCCTTTTTCACCTTTTTAAAAAACTGTCTAGAAATTGATTAGTGATTATTAAGAGTCAATTGTTGAGAAAGCTTAAAATCCTTGAAGAAATGAAAACAAAGTGATTATAAACAGATTATTGTCCCATCAGTTCTTTGGAAATAATTTATTTGAGTGTCTCTCTCCAAATTGTTCTAAAACTGTTGAAAAATAAACTAGAAATAGTGGATAGTCTTGATTTAAGTAGATTTTACTTTTTAGGAATGTATAAGTAGAGTCTTGATGGGGAGGTAAAGAATGTTCATTAATTAATAATTTAAAAAAAATCTTGGGTCCACTGTTGCCTTTTGAATGTCATTTCTGTACTTCAGCCTTCCTATGTGTCTCTAGTTTGTGTAGGCACTTTGATCATAAAGGAGAAACATTTACCATGTTGACTGGTTGGCAAAGAACTGGGGAGGTTGAAGTTTTTAAAGTCAGACACTTCAAGTTGAATTTATTTTTCTTTCTGGTGATGCTTGTGAGTTCATGGACTCTTATATATTCAGTTTTAATGGAGGGATTCAGGAGCACTGAGAATACTCTGTGAAGTTTGTGATCTGTACTGTTTTTGTGAGCCTTGTGGGAGTACTATAAATATTCATAGTACTCTAAAGCAAAGATTAAATTTTGAAGTCCAGCTTTCTCATTTTAGAATTTAAAGTATTTCTATTGCAGGAGAAAGACTCTGCACTTCAGAAGAATAAGTACACCTATTAGAACAGTTGTAACCACTGATGTATCATGCTTAACGCCTTTAAAGTTTTCAGGGATAGCCTCCACCTTAACAAGTCTTTTACAGATAAAATAGGCTTTTTAAAGGCAATATCTGATCATGTTTCTAATATACATTCAGACTTCTGTGCAGGGAAGTGAAGCATGTGGACCTACGATTATGTGTGTTCAAGTTAGTGGATTGTTAACAGGTTATTCATCATACAGTCTGTTACCATATTAAATGATACATGCATAAAAATAAGCTCTAGTAAATGAGAATCATGAGTTTTGAGGTAAAAATCTGTTGTCTTAAATTCTTGGGCATGTTTACCTGTTATGAACAGAAGGCCAAAAGATCTTTTCTTAACTGATTCTCATATTTTACTTCACATTTGGAGAATGTCAGAACATGCACCTACTGTCAGCTAATGTGCTTACTACCTAGGTAATGGGAAGTTGTAATAGCTAAACTGCTTTTGGATAATTTTCTCTACCTTTAAGGTGATTTTACATGTACTCAAAAACCAAACATCTTGTTTCCCTACTCATACTTTCTTTCCTTGCAGGAAAGGAGGGCTCTAATGTTCGTTGTGTCATTGCATGAGTGCCTTGTACTCAGCAGGTTATTCATTGTCATCACTAAGTCACTTTAATATTGCTTCTGTGTACAGTTTCTCATCCTGTGAGTGTGGTCTGCATTTCAGTTACGTAATCCAAGACCTCAGCTTTAGCAGAATTCCTGTTACACCATATTAATGAACTGATCTAAATTGCTGTATTATTACTATATTTGAATACAGTTTTACTATTTAGTACCTTGCCAGCCCTGATGGATTCTGTAAGCTCAGTTAATTTATCTGAGACACTGTGAATAATTATTTGGAGCATTTTAAAAAAAAAAAAATTTTGAATTTTAAAACAGCTTGTAAGTGTTAATTGCCTGCTGTTCATAAATGTTAACTTAAACACACAGACTTGGACATTACTTGTCCCATATTTGTCTCTTAAGAGGGTATATGAGAGATGAAGTAATAAGAGCTAATATGGGTGAGACATAGTGTTTGGATAAAAAATAACATTAGGGAATAAAGGCAAAAGAGTCTTCACTGAATAAGTTGCGGAAAATCATTATAGTCTCCCTCAAGGGGGAAACCATTGTGAGAAGACATTCTAGTAGAGATTAGAAAACTTCGATATTTCAGTGAGAAATATTACTGGAATTTGGTTCTCAAAGAGATGTATTTTCATAAAACATGAGACCAAAAGATGCTTGGATGAGGCAACCAAAAGATTCTTTTTCACGGAGGAATTATAAATCAAGACGTTGTATACTTGCTACTTGTGATGTTTGTAAGTAGGTAGAAAATTGTCATAGAGCTGGAAACTGAAAACAACACTCACTTGAGAATGCTATAATTCAATTCAAATGAAAGATTAATGTGCACATTTTTTTCAAAGGATGAATGATGGAGATAGGTAATAAAACCAACAAATGAAGAACACTGGATTAAGTATGGATACGACCCGATGATTTTTTAGTTCAGTAGTTCAAGAAATATTTGGCATTTGTGCCCAGAGAAAATAGAATTCTCGACGACCATCGTGCTGAACTGGAAGGCTTTTTAAATAATACAGAGAGGTGTCTCCTGCCTTGTCCTTTTCAGCTTCTGAAGCATGTAATATTTGAGCTTAGCAATGTTACTTCTTTTAAAAATGAGACATGAGTCACTCTTTAAAAAGGTACTCTGAAGAGGCACAAACTATGGATTTATTTCTTCTGTGCAATAGTTTAATATTCACGGGGGTAAATGTTGTGATTAAATGTTGTGGGTAAAATCTTGTGATTTTTTTCACAAGATTTGCATTACTTTAGCCATTTGAGTCCCTCAGCATAGAAGAAGATTAAGCCCATATAGGAAAAAAAAGACAACCAATAAATTTTCATATGTTTTAATGAAAAGCTTGTAACAGCATGACTGTCTTCTGAAGCAACCATAATGAAGACAGGCAGCATTCTTTTTGAATTTCTATCTGTCTACTGTTTTAACAAAATCTTTGCTTTCTATATCAGTGTTTTATACTTAGACATGAAATTAATATGTGTCCATGAAATACTTGCTATAACCTTTTTTGCTTTTCCTGACTAAGGAATTAGAACTTATTCTTCACTTGCAGTCATGCAACTTATTCGAGTGATGATTTATCCTTTGCAGAATTCTTACTGATGATAGTGTTGTATGAAAGACAAAAATGACTTCTGTCTTTCAGATGTCTTGGCATAGGTAGTGATTTCAGCCTGATATGGCTTTAGTTTATTACAGTGGAAGTATTTTTTTCCAAAGGTTTTTTTTTTTTTTTAACTGCTTCTGATTAAAATTCTAATCACAAAATGACTGATTTTTTTTTTTTTTTTTTTGAGGTTGAGAGGGACCTATGGAGGTCCTCTGTCCAACTACCAACTCAAGTGGGGTCACCTGTTGCATTTCAGGAGGAACCTTCAGTGTTTCAGTGTTTGCCCATTGCCTCTGGTTCTGTAACTGGGCACCAGTGGAAAGAAGCTGACTCCACCTGCTGTGCACTGTCCCTTCCAGTATTGCTACACATTGATAAGATTCTCCCAAACCTTCTCTAGGTTAAATTGTTCCATCTCTCTGTCTTTCCTTGACAGCAGCAGTGAGAGCTGCTCCAGTTCCTTCACCATCTTAATAGCCCTCTGCAGGTCTCTTTCCAGTGTGTCCATGTCACTTGTACTGGTAAACTTGGAAGTGGACACAGTACCCTAGGGCAGGTGCTTTTAAAACTTGTTTCACTTCTCATTATCTTACTCTGTTTTTAATTAGTAATAAATTCAACTGATTTCCCTAAGTCAAGTGTATTTTGCCTGTGATGGTAATCAGTGAGTGATCCCTGCTCTTAACTCACGTGCCTTTTCTCTTCCATGTCCAATTACAGAGGGAAGTGATAGAGTGGCTTTGGTAGGCACCTGATATACAGCCACAGTCAATCCACCACACTCCCACCAGTCTCTGCTTTCACCCTCTGTAGGCTTCCTTTTTGTGTTCACATTTTGCCAGAAGCTCCTTTTTCATCCGTGCAGGCTTCCTGGCATTTTTACCTGACTTCTGGGATGGACTTGTCTTCAGCTTGAAGGAGGTGATCCTTGAATATTAACCAGTTTTTTTGGGACCCTTTTCCTTCCCAAGGGCCTTATCCTGTGGGACTTTGCCAAGCAAAGTGTTCAGACCCTGCTTTCCTGAAGTCCACTGCCTTTCTCCAGCACCTCAATGCCCTTCTTGTAGTGAGGGGACTAGAACTGGACTCAGGATTTGAGGTGCCTCACCACTGCCCAGTACAGAGGAACAGTAACTTACTTGCTGGACACACTGTTTCTGATACAGGCCAGGATACCACTTGCCTTCTTCCCACGTTGGCACACTGCTGGTAGCTGATACCCCCGTCTTTTTCCTCTAGGCAGCTTTCCAGCCCATTTCCCCTCAACCTGTAGCACTGCAGGGGGTTGTTGTAATCCAAGGGCAAGACCTGGCGCTTGTCCCTGTTGAACCCCATACAATTGACCTAATCCCACGAATCCAGTCTGTCCAGATTTCTTTGTAGAGCTTTCCTAGTCCCTGCCCAACTTTTGTGTTAAGTGATGTAACAGGTTGCTGACCATTTGCTCTGGGGTTATGGTTGCTTGATTCTGCACCCCATCTCCATCTTCCAACTCAGGGCACTAAGTACCTAAAGAGCAAGTGGTCTTACTGTTTAAGACTGAGACAAAACATTTAGTACCTCAGTCTTTTCCTTGTCCTTCGTCACTACATTTCACACCACATCTAATAAAGGATGGAGAGTCTCCTTAGCCCTCCTGTTGTTAATGTATTTATAGAAACATTTTTTATTGTCTTTTACTGCAGTAGCCAGATTAAATTCTAGTTGGGCTTTCATCCTTCCAGTTTTCACTCTGCATAACCTCACAACATCCTTGTAGTCCTCCAGAGTGACCTCCCTCTTTTTCCAAAGAATTCTCTTTTTTTTTTTTCTGATTCCAGCCCTGAGTTCAACAAGCTTGTTCAGCGAGGCATGTCCTCCCTG